CCCTCTTCTTATTTTGTCAAAGAAAATTTTACTGGCACGTGAAATAAGGCGAACATAAAATTATCATCACTGATTCTGATTCGAGCTAGCAAAAAATATCTTTATGAATATAAGTTATCCATCGTCATATCGCATGTTTGTGGTTAAAAGTTTGGTCTGCTTTAAATTTGCTTCTTCGTTAATACTGTCTGACAAGTTCTTCTGAGAGAAGTCGAAAAATATGTTTTTTTTGCCCACTTCTTGTGTCTAAATGTAGCTAAGGAAAAGATGTTTCATTTGCAACTTTCCCAATGCCCTAAATCATTTTGCATCTTTTTTGCGTTCGAGAATATTTTAAACGATTCAAAATAAATTTAATAAAACTAAAGAAGTTTTCTAGCTCTTTTAAATCTGCTATTTCTTGTCGTGCAGTAAAATTTTCTTTGACAAAATAAGAAGAGGGATTTGGCCGATCGTTGGTAACCTCATGTCAAGCAGTACAGCAAAATATCTTTTTCTTGTGAACACAGAACATTTACGAGGTCAATATTCTCCATTTTAACTTTCCCATAAGACATTTTCTGCGAGTCATAAAAATCAAGAATAAAACAAATCAGAATGATTGAAAGTCATCAACTTAAATAAAACCGATTGAAAAGACAAAGACTAATACACTATTTTTGTAATTAATATCCATTGACAAAATTTTTTCAAGAAGCATAAATGCTGCTTTAGTTTAAGCCTGATTGCGCACACATATGAGAACAGTTCGACAAAGCCGTAGTTTCAGTTTAGAAGGTTTGTCGTTTTGACAAGAATTTGATGGTGCAAAGTTAGACAGATAAAGCTTAAAGACAAAAATGAAAAAAAAAGTCATCATTGAAATTCTGAGAGATTCGTTATTTATGAGGCATCCAAGAGGTAGAACTACACTTTTTTTCACTTTCCAGGCATGTTGTGTCTTCTCATTCCGATGGTATTCATTCTTGGTAACACTCTGCATGTGAGCCAATCAGGCAAATCGCTTGCTTGGCGTCCGGCATTGCATCTCTATCGCTCCTCGTTTCTCATTGCTCTTCACATAACTTTTGTCGCCATCAACATTTATGGTTGGTCACATTCGGGTGTCAATCATGTTCTCATATTCGAAATCGATCCACGCAATCATCTAACCTATCAACGACTACTCGAAATAGGCACATTTCTCTTGGTTCTATGGTTTGTCAGCTTTACCGCCTTTATCATATCATCTTATCATGACGCTCAACCTTTCGCACAACCATTGATATTTGTCATCTTTCTTATTATTTTATTAATCAATCCTATTCGAATATTCTATTATAAATCTCGAATTTGGTTTTTAAAAAATATCGGTCGAGTTTTCTTGGCACCATTCTATCATGTAGATTTTACAGGTTTTTGGCTCGGCGATCAACTCATATCACTCGACTTGATCTTTTTTGATCTTCAATATTTTATTTGTTTTTACACTTATGATGTTCATTGGATTCAACCGACTGACAAACAAGGCGTGTTTTGTTCTGGTTGGTCACAATTTTTCCTTCAAACAGTTTTCATTGTACTTCCATCTTGGTTTCGTTTTGCACAGTGTATACGACGTTATCGTGACACGAAAGCAAAATTTCCTCATTTGGCCAATGCCGGCAAGTACGCTAGTGGCTTTTTAGTTGCCATCACAAACGCCGTTCGGCGAGCAACCATTCTTGAATATCAACAGCAACGAACATCGAACCCTTTTCTTTATCTATGGTTTATTTCATCATTGATCGGTTCAACCTATAAACTCATTTGGGACCTTAAAATGGATTATGGTTTTTTTGATAAGAATGCAGGTAAAAATAAATTTCTACGCGATCAAATCATCTATTCGTCGAAAGCTTACTATTATGCTGCTATCATCGAAAATATTCTCTTTCGATTCATTTGGATCATCAATATATTTATCTATTTTAATACATCTGCGGCTGAATACGCCGATATCATTGGTTTTGTTTTCGGCATCATTGAAGCTTTTCGACGATTTATTTGGAATTATTTTCGTTTGGAAAACGAACATTTGAATAATTGTGGCGAATTTCGTGCTGTTCGTGACATTCCCATCCAAACAACGGTAACAGTGGCCAGTGGATATTCGACACGTTTAGAGAGTATTGGGTCGCTCTCGAATCTCGGTGATGAACAAGATGCAAAACGACGTCAATCTATGATCAGAGGAGGGACAATGACAGCGATGGAAAGAAGTCGAACATTAACAATTTTAAATGAAGCATTTGACAATGAGACCAGCGTTTCAAAAAGTTTGACGACAGGAACAAATAGTAATCAAGCGCAGAACGTTTCAAATAATCTAGAGTCGTCTTCAAATACTATATCAAGTTCTAATTCTCTGGTATTAGTCAATCCATATTATACCCGAACACAGCCTACCTAGACAATGGCAAGCGTATTTATACCAGGAACCTTGTACTCTACTTGAGCATGAAAACAATATACATCTTGATAGCTTGAAGTGTGTTCAGTATTTTTTTCATGTGCTATTGATATTTAGAGAATAAACGTAATAATTTGGCTTTAAGTGGGCTAAAAAGATTGATTACATAATTATATGCATTAAAAACGCTATATTCAATATAAGTGTCCTGAAGACTAGTTGTGCGTGATGGAACTGAGGTACTTCATAATAGTGTCGATAATTTGCGATGTTATGTAACCCATAAGTTATTTTGATTTATACTACTTTTGATGTATCGTAATGCGAGTGATTTATTTTTTTGGGCTAAAAAAATGTGAAATGTAAGGTTTGCGCTTGCTCATATAAGTGCACTTTCTCAGGTTTCAGAATCTCGTAACTATAGATTGAAAGGTTCAGGAGAAATGTAAGGACTGTGTAGGTGAAGTGTGGGTCTCCTCATCTGCAAGCACACACCTTGTTTGCGAAGAAAATGCGTCTCTATTTTGATTTACATATTTTGAAATATATCAATTAAAAGTTTTCAAGACAGTCAATTGATGAAGAAAAATTCCATAGCTAATGTCTAATTGATGGTAATTTGAAATCTTCGAATTTGCATCCAATTGAGAGTAATCGTCGTCAAGTTCTATGAATCTTATTCTAAAAAGCAATTGAGATATCAAGTATATCATTTGAGACATTTTTCAATGAAACTCAACTTATGAAACATATCAACAGGTGACGATTCTCTATTTTTTGTCATCCAGTCAAGTCAATGTAGATTGAACAGTGGTAAATTCGCGCTCAGTATTAATTCAATCATCTCAGGAATAGTATCTAATATTATTAAACAATATTTGCAGATCAATCGTCATCAACTGTTAATAGATTGCATCTTCGTTCAATTCAAAATAATGCTCAACACGCACAAGATACTGTTTGGGATCTAACTGATCGAATGTCAATAGATGTGCATTCAATGGTATTGCATTCGACAAAGCCGACCAACTTTAACGATAATATTCGAATAGTTAGCATAATATGATGTATTCGGCAAGGACTAGGTCGCCAGAGGCTGCATAAACAATTGGTGAGTACCGACTCGATATAGTCGAGCACTATCTGCTGGTCATTCGACAAGAAGGATACGCTTACCGGAAACAACAAGGCCTTTGCCATGGACAGTTTCATTTAAAGCTTCCCCAACACACATTGAATCATTGTGCAGTATTCGACGATGAACCATATTTCAATTGAACCATCATACATACTTCCAATACCTTCGGGTCGATCTATAGAACATTGGCAACAGAATTATTCCCAGTAATGAAAAAACTTCATGTAAAAACAAAAATTATCTTATCGGAAAGGATAATCAATTGGCGGTCGCGATCTCGGATCCAAATGCGACTGTTAATCGGATAATAATTACCACTAATTCGTTCATCAATGAAATAATGCCATGTTGGTCGATGATCACGAATATGTTCCAGGACCTCACGTCCATTAGCATCAGTATAATATTTCGATGCACTATCAATGTTGGTATTATAACGAATAATAATCTCTTTGCCTGCATTAGCATCGATTGAAATCGATTCAATTGTTCATTCGAGTTTAATTGCTGATGTTCTACGATAGAGATTGATCTCTTGGTTAATCCAATCATTGAAAATAAACGATTCTTTTTGTATGATATCTGTTTTCGTACAATTTCTATCGTTGTTTTTAGGAACAAATTAATCGTCAAGCAAATTTATTGAGCAGAATTATTCACATGCCACGCGAAAGACTCACAGGTATGGCCTTCGAAAACAACGGTCGAAAGGCGTAAGCACCTGATGCTGGCAATTTTGGAGTAGTAGAACTGCTGAAAAAACCTTAAACAAAGAGTGTAAGAAAATCTTGATAATCTTGAATAAGTTTTGATCAAGTTCATAAGCAAATTATTTTTAATTTTCTTATTTTAATCGAATTCATTAAGAAATAGCATTGAATTGCATACCAGTAGAAGTTCTAATGAGTAAACGATATAATTTNACAACGGTCGAAAGGTGTAAGCACCTGATGCTGGCAATTTTGGAGTAGTAGAACTGCTGAAAAAACCTTAAACAAAGAGTGTAAGAAAATCTTGATAATCTTGAATAAGTTTTGATCAAGTTCATAAGCAAATTATTTTTAATTTTCTTATTTTAATCGAATTCATTAAGAAATAGCATTGAATTGCATACCAGTAGAAGTTCTAATGAGTAAACGATATAATTTAATCTTTATCTAAATTGATAATGTGTTTCAAACCACCTTGAGTATTGAATTCCACGCATATATGCTAGAAATAATGAACAGTCTGTCGTTATTCGCATGTGAACATCATATCTTACTTACTTCTGAAGAACACATGCTTGATTTTTGCGTTGTTATCACTTTGTTGTGCTCTATTTTCTTGGCATCAGCTATTATAAGTAAACCAAATATCTCAATAAGTTCACAGTGAAACAGCCAAAGTCAAGTTTTCTTATTACTGACATCTAATCCATCAGTTCTGTTAAATCCTCAATCCTTTCTATTTATCAATGGAATCCAACGAAACAAGATTTTCTATCGGATCACGAATTATATATTCTCAAGTGACAAGTGCACGACGATGAAGTGGTACTTGGCGCATGGTTCGATTCCAGAGTGTCAATGTGAAGTAGAAAGAGAATTGAGACAGTCTCTCATGTATCATCTGAAAAACAAATGATCCCAAAAATCAGATGATAATCGATAATGATTTCTTTTAGTTGATTATTTATACGAGTTAGGTGCGACAGTTTCATGTACTTGATCTTGTCCCTCAAATGGCTGTCATTTACTAATGTTCGAGTATGGGCAAAGAAATTAACAGACAATCGATGATGTTTGACCTTGTTTGAGCAATACTTTCGAATAGGCATCATTAATCACTTCCTAAAGAATTCTCATATCATAGAATCTAGTGTTTGTCATAAGAAATACCAATGTTTGGTCGAAACCATCGGACAATTGTTGAGCATAATCATTGGTTACATGTTGTTTCTCTGTCCCACTAACTGCATCATAATGTTGGATAAGACTTATTGTTTCACCTGTATAGTACGGTTGTCGATCGATCGATCAATCAATCGAATGTATGTTTTTCTTACTCAAATAAAAAATACTACTTCGTAGATTCTTCTGTGAAAATCCATTAAATTGACGGATTATTTCAAGAATATTATTTGCATAACGTTTTAACACTGGCCTGGAAGTAAAACAGTCGATCTAGTATGCAAATGAAATACTAGCATATAGAAAGAAATCATCGGCTTTCGATGTCCAATCCTTTTTAACTTTATTCAAGGCATATAAATAGCATGATGGTGTGAAATAAAAGATGTTGGAATTGCTACCATTTTCTTGCTAATGATATGATCACGAGTGAAGTCAATCAAACATGTGAAAATGACATATCTCTGTGCTAACATAATGGATTAATTTATCTCAATTTTTGAATTTCTCATTGGCATTTTGATCTTCAAAATCATTGCCCATCGTCATGATAACATGATTGGTTGCATAGATGTGAGCCTACAATAGATAAAAACAAAATTTTTGAGAGCGTTGTCTTGCAAGAATAGTTTTTTGAGCAAACTTGAATGTGTGCCACTATAATGAATGTTGTCACACGTTCCGGCACATTGTAGTCATTTAAACGTTTATCATCCTAGAATCATTCAATTCACAGAGAAACAAGGGAGTTGATAAATACTGACACACCATAATCGATTAATCTGCACACAGGATATCAAAACAAAACGAAATCGGCCCACTATATCCATATGGGAGTACACTCGTGAAGAGTCAACTATGACGACCTACAAACATGTGTATGTAAAACTTTCAAGATTCAGATAAGAATTTAGCATAGATTGTCATTTCCAAGAAGAAATCCGATTGGATTGAAATACTCAACAAGACACTAACCTAAGTTGATGCTTCCTTTCCAAATCATTTCCAAGCTCTTTTCCAAACTCTGAGGTATCCGATCTTTATGGTCAATATGCCCAAAGAAGAGACCATCAAAGTCCATATACCGATAAACGATATCTATATAGAACTTAAGTTCTTCGAACAGATGCAAGCTGTGCAAAAAGTGAAGTAACTTCTCGTGAATGATCAAATGAATCAATTTGCTAGCCAATTTTTGGTCGAGCACGCTCGCTGAATGTATCACGCAAGAATTTGGCGCCTCAGCTATGTTGATTAATAATCGAATTGTAGTGTGTTGTTGCCCCATCGTTCATAGACCAACTACCGAAAATAAAATCCAAACGATTATATACAGACTTATATACATGATTACAATAAAGCAAAACCATAAACGATTGCATATTGATAAGTGAATGACTGTTCATGCGTAGTGAATAGTTTTCTTCTCTTGAACATACTCTTCAATTCTGCAAAAGCGATTGTAGGCTGACGCAAATTCGATTGATACGAACCTTTATTGACGTGTTACCTGATAGTATTACGCATGTCGTCCGATTTTTCATGCCACCAACGCCAAAGGAAAGCCATGTCGACATAGATAAACCGACGATCAGGATTGTCAACTAATACCTGCACAACTGAGTCGAGAGTGTATTGAACACCTCGATTGCAGATTTCACCACGCGCTAAATTATCAATTCATCAAATTATTCATTGTTATCATGTTAACTAAATCATTACTGACATCCATAGTATAATACTAATCGACTGTGTTTAGTCAACCAACATCGTCGGCTGTCTGAGATACGATATGAACATTAAGTTTATTAGATTTACCCAAATTGCATGACTAACATATAACTATGCGAATATATACTCTAAACGGACACATTTTGTCTTACATCATAACCACAACTATTTGGCAAATTATATGGTGCTGTAAGACATTCGGTCACAAGGTAATTAAGCACTACCCAAAGATAGTCGAG